AGGGAGTCTGCTTCTCCCTCTGACCCTCTTCCCTCTTGTGCTCTCTGTCTCTCATTCTCTCCTTCTCAAATAAATAAATAAAATCTTTAAAAAAAAAATATTGCATCAAAGTATTGTTTGTCTAGGTTACCGAGTTTGGGGGCAGTCCTGGAAATGTTGTGCCTTACATGCCTCACCATAGTCCCAGCCCTGCTCTGTGACCGTGAGCAAACACTTTCTGAGCCGTGGCTTTTTCAGCTAGAAGATGAGGATGATGTTGCCCACTCGACGTGGCCTTTGTGAGCACTCTGCCCCGGGCTCAGATCCTGGAGAGGAGTGATTATGTGGTTCATGGTACAACTACCACTAACAACAGCCAAAGCTTTTTCTCTGGCCGGTTATCTTGTCTCACCAGCCCCCGCTGCAGAGGTCAGCTCCCCCCTTGGCTCAGGGCCTTCCAACTAAAACCTGTTTTTAATGTGGAGTGGGCAGGGGACTTGGATGATATAGGCCAGGCCTGGATGCTAATATCTCTCTGCTCTGCAAACAGATGGGTTGGACAAGGATTTGGACACTTTGTGGGCCTCAAGGTCATGCTGTTCTCAACCATTTGTGTTGGTTTAGCTCAAAACCCCATGGAGCTCCTGAAACCAGAAGAGAACATATTCTTTATTTTCCTCCCCTCCTTACCTCCCCCCTTCCTCTCCTCCCTCCCCTCCTTACCTCCCCCCTTCCTCTCCTCCCTCCCTTCCTTCCTCCCTTTTATTCCTGCTGAGCATGCACCCTGGCCTGTGCACCGTGCTAGATGCTGGCGACGCCATGGGGCTTATGACAGAAAGGACCCGCCTCACGAATCCAAGAAGGACAGTGGTGCCCATTCATCTAAACTCCATTTTGTAGATAATTTCTCTTTTGTGGATTCGAGTTTAAAGCGTACCTGCATTCAGTTCTGGGAGGCTGTGTAAAAAGCCAACCTGATTTTTATTTTTTTTTCATTTAACGATGATTTCAAGCATCGAAGCATTTCCCAAGTAAAAAGAAATGCAGCAAAAAGACTGTTTGGGTCCAAAAAGCCAAATGCAAGGGAGGATACTTGATTGGAAACAGACCTGCCTGGCTTCCCTGAGGCCCGCCTGGGCGCCTGAGCCTCTGGTCCGCTTGCTGCCATGGAGATGTGCCTTCTCTGGCCCCCTAAATCTGTGATTTCTACGCCACCACTGCTTGAGGCCCTGGGATAGGTGAACCAAAAAACCAAACCATCTCTATCTGGATCCCAAGCCCAGCCCCGGGGACTGGATTTAGAATCTGCGGCCTACCCACAGGCTTCCTCTTCAGACTTCTAGCAACGCCCTGCCAGGCAGAAGCAGAAATCTCCATTGACTCCCTGCTACCGACCCTGATAAAAACCCTGCACGGCGGACTCCAGAGTCCCGTCTCTGGTCTTCCGGCCTAGAGGACAATTATCTGGTTATGTGAGTGGGAGAGACAGAGAAAGAGAGGCAGGGACGCAGAGAGGGACAAGAATAGGAAGCGAGAGAGGGAAGCAGAGGAGAGAATGAGTGAGGTTGAGGTTTGGGCTCTTGTCTGAAAAACCGGGAAGTAGACCCAAGTCAGTGGGGGTTGAGCACGAACGGGAAAGCCAGACCTGCCCCCCAAGAGGTCTGTGCCAGTCCTCGCTTGGCGGCTAAGTCACTCTGCAACCCTCTGTCTTGTCTGGCAGGACTCTATGTTTCCTCGAGCCCCTCCCTGTCCCCCGAGTCCGGCTTCCGGAGGCTCCGTCTTGGTACCCCTGCACCCCACCCCATGCCTGCGCCCGCTCCCCCTCCGGCCAAGGGCTCAGCGGCAGGGACGGGGCCCCCTCCCACCTTGGAGGGCACCTCAAGGAATTTCAGGCTGACCAGGGCAGGGTCCAGCGGCTTCCCTGTGGCTCGTGAAGGCAGGGCACATGGGCCTCTCTGTTTGGTGAAATCTCTGATGGGATGTTGCCAAGGAACTCAACCAAGACGTAAGATGCTAACCAGCAGGGAGATGAACAAAACCAGGGGCATAAGGTCGTACCTCGGGTGGCGGCCGTCCTCGAGAGGCCATTTATTGGTGGTTGATGAGGAGGACTTGGGGTGCAAAGCTCGGCTCTCCCCGTTTCCGCCCACCTTGGAGAAGTAGCTTTGGGAGCAGGCTCTGGAACACGTGGGACTTGCTTATTTTCCACCTGCGAAGTGAGGGTGGTGATGGTGGTAGAGGGAGGTTAACTGGTGATTCCCCTGGCCCCCTCCTGGCTGGAACCTCCAGGACTCTGCCCTGGGTCATGAAGGGCAGGCAGAGCGACCCCAGCTGTGCTGGGGGCACCCCCAGTCAGGGTCGACGCGGGCGAGCACAAGTGTTTGCTCCGATGCAACTGGACACACCCGAGAAGGTGGCATCAGACCGGAATCTGACCTGGGGCTTGAAGGGGGCACGAATAATTAATGAGGAGGGAGGGACTCCGGCAGGGACGGACCAGGAACGTCTGCGGCCTCTGACTTAGACCTGCCAGAGGGTGGCGCTGTAGGACAAGGAGCTGAGGGACTCTCGGCGGAGAGCCGCTCAGGCCTGGGCCCGGGGCACCCGGAAGCTGGGATCCCCAGCGCGTCCGCCCCAGCCCCTGCAGGTCTCACGGCAGGCAGCCCCCCCTGCTGGGGCCCGACGTGCTTGCGCCAGCCAGAGAGCCACCCCGCAGCTTTTTCTGTCCCGCTCTGGACTTTCCCCTTGGTCCAGGTCCTTGGAAAAGCAGACCGGAGGGGCCACCTCCCTCGCTGTCTCAGCGGAGGTTGCCCCACCCTTTGCTGGAGAGAGCATAACTTCGGGTCCCTCAGGAAATTCTGCGTCCTGCTGTGCCCCCTTCCCCTTCCTATAGGGGACTTCAGAGCAAAAAAGTGGGTTAAATTCAAAATATCTTTACCTTCCTGAGGTACCTGGATGTAAAGTCTTTTGTTCCTTTATTATTTTTTTTTAAAGATTTTGTTTATTTGAGAAAGAGAGAGAGAGCATGAACCGGGGTGAGGGGCAGAGGGAGAGGGAGAAGCAGGCTTCCTGCTGAGCAGAGAACTCGCTGAGCAGAGAACCCGATGCGGGACTTGATCCCACGATCCCACGATCCCAGGATCCCACGATCCCACGATCCCAGGATCCCAGGATCATAACCTGAGCTGAAGGCAGACGCTTAGCTGACTGAGCCACGCAGGCGCCCCAGCATTTGTTCCTTTAACCCTCATCCCTCAATTGTTCACAGTATTCTGGTTGCCCCTTTTCGGTGTGCTTTCTTAATAAGAAGACAATAATTCACATCAGTCTCTTGCTTCAAAGTGCCAGCCCCTGTGCTATTTATGTTGTACACATTCTCGACTGTAATCATGATCTAATTTAGCTTGAGCTGTCCTATACCGTGCCAGGGTCCTGTCTCACAGGTGAGGCAGAGACGTTAAGACACTTACTTGCTCGAGGGCACACAGAAATTACTTGATGAGGCTGGGCTTCATGCTCTTGACCACATGGAATGGCCGCCAGCTCAGTGGCCAGGCTCCTTGGGCTCTCCTGTGCTCCCACACCAGGCTCCCTGCTCCCTGCCGATCAGAAGGCTTCAGGATGGCTTTGGCCGAAATCAGTGAGGTTGCTTGTTTCCCTCTGGCTCGTGTGGTGGAAGCGGGATCTCCAGCCCTTGGAGGAGGTTGGGGTCTGTCAAGGCCCTGGCTGGGCTAGGTTCCTGAGGGGTGTTAGTGTGTGTGGTATTTGTCTGGCATTGGAAGGCACGCGTGTGTGGGGATGGGGGTGGGAGGGCTGATCAAGAAATCCAACCAGACCTGTAACCACCGGACTTGGGTGTGTCTCCTGGCCCAGCACTTTGCCCGTAGGGAGCGGGGGGGGGGGGGGGGGTGGGGGGCGTGAGCCGTAGCAGGTGTTGGAGCAGCGGGGTCCTTCCACAGTTACCACCGGTACTTAACATATGTTGGGCCCTTGGGGTCTTGGGATCTTAGGTCCCTAATCCCATGTAACATCCCTGCTAGAGAAGAGACAGGCAGTAAACCAGGCATCATTGTTTTGTTGCGAGTAGAACAAGTCGATGTGAGTTCAACAAGTCGATGTGAGTTCTACTGGTGGCGATTTCAGGGACCGCCTTTTGAGTAGGGGACTTGATTTTTGAGCTAAGATCTGAATGACAAGGGGTGGGCAGGTGACAGTTGGGGACCCAGGTGTTCCAGGCAGAGGGAGAAGCAAGCAGGAAGCCTAAGGCAGGAGTGAGGGCCATGGCTGTGGGCATAGCACCCAGAGGTGGGAGATGAAGCCAGAAGGACGGCCTTCGGCTGCCTCCCCTAGGACGCTGTGGGCTGGGTGAGGAGTGTGGAGTTTCCTTCAAGAGCAGCAGAAGCTGCTGGAATGCTAAGGGGCTGCTCAGTGGAGAGCATGGTTGGGAGCGTACCAGGGAGAGGGCAAGCTCTCCAGAGACATGGCGGCGCTCAGAAAGGAGGGGACGGGTAGGGGTCTTTTGGAAGCGATGTGGACAGGCTTGTCTCTGGATTCAAGGCGAGAGAGGAGGGAAATAGTAATGAAGGTCTTTGCTTCAGCAGCAGGGTTGATGGTGGGTGTCACATATGAGATGGGGGAAACTGAGGGAGAAACAAGTTTGGGGGGAATAATCAAGTGTTCTGTCCTGGCCAGGTTGGTTAGAGAGGAATGCCAGACGCTGGAGGGGAGACGTGAGGCGGGCAGTGGAGGGGTGAGTCCGAAGTGAGTCTGAAGTCCTGGGGAGGGCTCTGGGTCAAACTCTTGGGTTTTGGACTCTTCAGCAGTTGGACTCTTCAGACCAGAAGTGAGATTTAGAAACTGGAGGATGTGCCTGACTTCATACAGGCACCACTGGGATCGGGTATGTTGGAGAAGGTAATCTACCTCGAAGGGTGCCCATGCCAGAACGCCATCTGACGAGTGTGACGGGGGTTCCCACACCGGTGGTAGGTTTAAATAAAGATACAGCAGGAGGAGGACAAATAGCAATTTTAATTTAAAATAGACCAGTATATAATTTGTGGGGAGAAGGTAAGAACGCAAAGAATTATTGAGGTAAGAAGCGCCCAGTAGCTTGGCTGAAAAGTTCCGCAGCCTGTGTCTCATCCGCCCACCTACTCACCCTCCTAGAAGGCTCTTTCCTTTTGGCGGGGTTGGCCTTCCCAAGGTCCGTCTGGGTGGAGAAGCCCATCTTGGCCTGCCTGAATGACAGGCCCCTGGCGTGGAGGAGGTGGGGGCAGGCCCTGAGCCCCGAGCATGGGCTCTCGCCATTCATTGTCAGGGGTCCCCGAGAGAGAGTGTATTGGCCTGGTGAGGCATCAGGCATCCCCAAAGCACAGTTAAACTCATGTTTGGAATATAAAATGAGGGCTTTCTGTAGGAAATACACAGGTTGTTCTTCACACTCAATGGGCAGAGCCTTGGAATCGACCCTTTGCCTGGAGTCTTAACAGCTGCCTGGTGATTTGGATTCATCTTCCCAGGTGAGGGCTGGAGAACCGAGGGTGGGTGGGCTCCTGCAGGAAGGGGAGTCCCTAGCTAGAGGGTCAGTGGGGCTAAGGTAAGTAAGCATTGGCTAACCGAAAAGGGGGGAGGGACTCTTACCAAAAAAAAAATCCATCGAAGACCTGAATCTGAGGTCCTTGCCAAAGCAGAACCCGCATAAAAGTGGGGGAGCGTCTAACGTGAGCTGGGGCAAGAAAAGTGAGTCCTCTGAGGATTTTCTACTGTGCCAAGAAGGCTTCAGGGGTGGGTGTAGTTGCCCATTCGCAGGGTCCCCTGGCGCACCGCGTGCTCCTCCTGGTGGGCTCGGAATGCTCTCTGGCGATCAGCCTCGGTGGGGAAGGTATCGAGATGGGGATGCACCTATGGAAGGGGGAGAGCAGGTCAGTGGGCATGCGGTTCCTTCCCCGCGTTCCCCTTCTCTCCTGGCCCGCCCCCCACTTCCATCTCTGAGCAGTAACACAAATCACCGTAAGAGGGAGGGAAGCGAAGAGTGAGTGCGGGGAGCGCCCTAGCACCGAGGGGTGACAACAAGCTGTGGCCGGAAGGCAGCAGCGAGGGCAAGGCTGCTCCGCTCCAGATGCCACCCTTTCAGAGGAAACTTGAGACAATGAGTGTCTCTTCGGGTAAAATGTGAGGCAATCAGTATTTCAGTCTGCCCTTCCTTCTCAAGACATGGTGGTGGGCGAAAACCCCTCCTGTCTCGTGGGTCTGTTCCGTCACCTCCAAGAGCAAGAAAATCTCCCTAAAATGGCATTTCTCCCATACCATAACCTATGGGAGGCCCAGGGTGGAAAGGTTTTGTACTTGCTTGTTCGTTAGTTCATTCGTCTGTTCTTTCGTTCCTTCGTTCATTCATTCATTCATCTGTTCGTTCATTCATACATTCATTCGTTCATTCACTCATGCATTCATGCAACGCATATTTATTGAGTAAAACTCTGTGCCAGGCACTGGGGATACGGCAGGAAACAAGAGGGATTTTCTGTCCGCTCAGGGAGCTTTCAATCTAGAGGACTGAAAGCAGACATCAACAATAATTACGCAGCTGTTTCACTAGAACTGATAGAGCGGGGGGTGTGCGGTGAGCACCAATAGCATAAGCTCAGCCCTCACGGGAGTCGGGGGTGGCCCTCTGGGGAGGCCCTCTGGGGAGGAGACGTGAGGGGGAGGCTGAAAGGGTGAGCAGGGCCTTCCCAGGCTAAGGGGGGCAGCATGCATGCCGGAGCTCAGTTCGTGAGGGGACGAGGTGGCCGCGGCGGTGGCGGGGGGCAGGGGTTCCCTCTGGGTTGGCAGGAGCAGCTGAGGGCTCTGCTATGTCTTCAGGATGACAGAGCAGGACCCATTCTTGTCCAGAGTCCAGGCCAGGGCCACCCTCTGGGTGGGGGTAGCCAAGCCCCAGTGTTGCAGGCAGCGTTTCGGTGTTGAAAGAGGGGAAGGGAAGCATGGGAGGAAGCCATGATAGTAAAAGGCAGTAGAAGACAAGGAGGAACTCGTAAAGAGTCTCTGTGCTTCGGGGGGGGGGCATACTCTGGCCCCATCTGGGAACACAGAGGCCTGGGACCTCCCCACTGCCAGGGAAAATCATGACCCTTCACAATAGCTGGTGGCCCAACTGCTTTCCTGATGGTAGAGAACTGGGTAATGTCTCCACTGAGACCAGGTGCAGAACTGATGTGACCTCCTGGCCCCCCGAAGCCTGCATCTGTGGGACACTGCGGGGCCCCCCCCAATGCAAGGTCTGGGCCACCACTTGGGGTCCGCCAGACCCTTATTGTGGGCTGTCTGGCCTCAGGTCCTGGGAGCATGTGCTCACCATCAGGATACTGAGCGCCCAATGGAACCCAAGCTGACTGTGGTCATCATTTTACAGATGAGGAAAATGAGGCCCAGAGCAAAGTCCGTCCAAGGTTGGTTACACAGGGAATCCATGTCAGAAAAACTCTGTTTTAGCCCCCACCCCTGGGCACTAAATTGTGGATTCTTTCTAGAAAATTCTGCTGCAGCCACAGCTCACACTATGTCTGGGTGACCCCCCCCCCCAACCACCACAACTCGCTCATGAGGTGGAAGGGGCTGGGGGTTGCAGAAGCTTATTAGGAACTCATAAAAGTCAGATGGTGGTGGGTTGATTTAGGTGTTTCTGCAGGACATAAACCACATTCTTCATTCTTGGGCAGGTAGACCCCTGGAGACTCTGCAGAAAGCCATGGACTCTGTTCTCTGGGGGAAAAAAATACCCCAAGTCCTAACATACAAAATGGTGTGGGTCACCACTTAAGATTTGTGGACCCTTTGCAAGGTCCCCGTGGACTGTCTGTGTGTAGCAGCACTTCCAGGATCCACAGCAGCCCCAGCCTCAGGTTTTTAATTTCTTGGATGTACCTCAGAATCATCCGGGGTTCTTGCAGCCCAGGCAGGGCCGGAGCCCAATCCCAAAGCTCCTGAGTCCTCTTAGGGCAGGACCCTTGCCATAGTCACCTAATGCCTACCTGGACGCAGGGCTCAACACCTGTGTTGAACTCCTTTTGGTCAATCAAACCATAATTTTGTTCTCAGCTGCATCTCCAGTTTCAGAAGAGTTCCCAAGTAGCCGCACAGAAGTTATTGGGAAGAGAGAAGACCCTACACTTTGTGCAGGAATAAAATAGCCAACAAACAAAAGGCTTCCAAGGTGCACCCTTGTGTCCCTTCTGGCAAGGGATGGCTTGGTTTTTACACTGTGATATGATTTTCCTGACACCCATGCTTCCCAGAAGGCAGCTAGAGATGCTCAGGAGGGCTGGCACTTTGGATCCCCAGAGACCTCGTGGGCACCCTGGCTGATTCCGGTGCCCAGCCAGCTGGGACTCCTACGTGTCCTGGGTCTCCTGTAGCATTCAGAATGTCAAGGTTCCCTGGTGGCCGGGCTCCTACCAGGGAAGCATAGCTCTGCAGCCCACATCTCTTCTATTTCCACGCATCCCCCCCTGGCCCTTGTGGGCTGATCACCCAAAAGATATGGTGATCCCTAAAAGATATGTCCACATCCTAACCACTGGAACCTGTGGATGTGACCTTATTTGTACAAAGGGTCTTTTCAGATGTAATTAATTCAAGGGTCTCAAGATGAGAACATCCTGAATTATTCAAGAAGGCTCTGATTCCAATGACGAGGATGCTTGAGACAGAAGACATGGACACAGAGGAGAGGGCCACGTGAAGCCATAGTGATGTGGCCACAGTTCAGGAATGCCAGGAACCACCCAGAAGAGGCAAGGAAACATTCTTCCCTAGGTCCTCTGGTGGGAGTGCAGCCCTGCTGAAATCTTGATTTTGCATTTCTGGCCTCCAGAACTTCCAGAGAATAAATTTCTATTGTTTAAACCACCAAGTTTGTGATAATTTGTTATGGTAGCCTCAGGAAATGAAAAGAACCTCCAAGCCATTCCCTGGGCAATTCAGTATGCAGGAATGGCACATGGTGCTGATGGCATTCAGTGGGTGGTGTTGATTTGGTGTTGATGGTGGGTAGTGTTGATGGTGGGTAGTATTGATGGTGGTGTTGATGGTGGGTAGTATTGATGGTGGTGTTGGTGGTGGGTGGTGTTGATGGTGGGAGGTGTTGATGGTGGGTGGTATTGGTGGCAGGTGGTGTTGATGATGGGTGGTGTTGATGGTGGGTGGTATTGATTTGGTGTTGATGGTGGGTGGTGTTGGTGGGTGTTAGGTGGTATTGATTTGGTGTTGGTGGCAGGAGGCTCAGCACTCACTCTTATCTCCTGAGGAGGTGGCAGAGGATCCAGCCCTAAGGAGCTGCTCAGCTTAGAGGAAATCAGGTGACAATCAGCACACAGACAAAAGAACGCTGGAAGAAATTTTCTTTTTTGCAGTCCCCTTTTACTTAGAAACTTCAGTGGGAAAGAAATATTTGTTCATCCATTCATCTAAAAAATGCACACTAAGCACCTACTGTGCGCCAGGGATGACTTGTACCTTTTGTACTTCAGCATTCAGTTCCATTTTCCCTTTGGTTTTCTAAACGGGCATTCTGAGCATAGGAGGCTCACCCCAGTGACTGACTGCACACATTGTCACCCACTATATTCTCAGCTGCGCTGGGGGACAGTGGGAGAGGCAGAAGGCATGCTGCATGTAGTCTCTGATGTCGATGAAATTCCATTCCAGCTGGAACCTTATGGGGTGAAGTCATCTAAGACAGGGGAGCTCAAGCATACCCAGCCCTGGAGCCCTGTAAAGCAGAGCGTATACCTATCCTGTACAGGACCCCCAGTGCCTGGCATGGGGCCATGTTTAAACAAAGCTGGCTTGGTGTGTGTGTCCTAGGTGAAAACCAATGGAGATTTGTGTGACTGGGTCTGATGGGCTCTCCTAAAGCCTAACTCAAGCAAAACCTCGCCCCCGATGTGGGATGGGTCTTTAGAAAGAGAAGGGAAACTGGATCCCTTGAAATCCCCAAATTCCCCAGCAGAAGCCCAGGAGTCCATGGAGAAGGGAGGTTCGGCTCTCAGAATGCCCAGAAGCAGGGTGCCCCTCTGCAGAATCTGTCCTATTCTGCATCGCTGGACCCTTCAGCAATGCCAGGCACAGTGCACGGATTTCACACAAGCCCCAGAACATCCAGACATTGTCTCCATTTTACAGATGGGGAAAGAGAGGCCCAGAAAGGTTAAATCACTCACCCCAGTCGCACAGACTGAACCCAGAGCTGTGGGGCTGGCCCAGGTCTTCACTGAGAGATTCCACTCTCTCTTAATAAACGCTCACGAAATGAGTCAAGTGAGTCACTGCTGGGAACGTTGTGGCTCTTATCCCACAGGCACACTCTCCCCTCCTAAAATAGCAACTCAGCCAGAGATGAGGATCCTAATTACAAGTCAGGCCTCAAGCCGTGTATGGTCACGACCCCACAGACCCCTGGAGTCGAAGGATGAAGAGCTGTGGAGCAAGGAATTCCTTCGGAGATGCTTCTAAATTAAGCCATCTGCGGTCTGCCTCCGCCTGGAGCTAAAAAACTGTAACAGCTTTGGCAGGAGACAGCTTTGCTCAATGGAGCTGAGTCGCTCTAGGGTCCATGCAGGTAAATAAGAGGTGAGCGTCCCAGCCTGCCCACAGCCCCAGGAACAGGGCAGGTGGGGGCAGCTCTACCCCCATTGGCCAAGGCCCTGGACCTGTTACAATGGTCAGCATCTAAAGAGCATTGCCCAAATAGGGACCGGGCGCCCCCGCCATGCAGTACACGCAGGGACATGCCGGTGAGTAAGACAGGCGGTGTCTTGCACCTGTGGACCCTGCAAGATGGCAGGGGAGGTGGCCGCAGAAAACACTACACATGCTTAGTGGCAATTCATTAGGACTGTGGA